CGGAAACTTTCGCAAATTTTTTTTGGGTACGTGAGAAACCCCCAAAATGAAAAGAAAATTTTTCATCTTTTTTAATTTATAGGTTTTTTTAATGTAAAAATTACCAAACTCAAAAAATATAGTAACCTTTCGAAAGTAGAGATTTCAAGCTTTAAAATCCGTTTTTAAAATTTAAATTTCGTTCATTTTTGACGAAGATATTGTGTATACAATTTTGAATTAAAAAATACGAGGAAACTTTTTCCCTGACCCAATATGTATTGGACATATATATTGGATAGGAGGAAAAGTTCTGCAGAATTTTGTTAGCTCAAACTTATATACAGAATATATTTGTTGCGAAATTTTGGACTGCTTGACATAAAAGCTTAATTTTTCCTAAAAATTTGTTTTAAAAAAAAAATGTTCCTTTTCGTTACCAAATTACACGAGGATTAAATAAAAGAGCATTCTGATTTTGATTGCTTATAATTCCGTTAAAAATCATCGTACCGTAATTAATAAAACAGATTTTTAAAACTAAAATATTGTTCTATCAAGTAGTGTAACTGCCAATTTTAAAAAAAATAAAATATATGTACATTTGAGCTAAAAATATGATTATTATATTTTTCTTCCATTGAATGATTATATAAGGATAATATCATATTTTAAATTCAAATTTCTATATACTTCTATATACTATTTTTATATACAAGTCTTTTTATATTTACGTTTAAAAAATTAGCATGATACTATTCGATAGAGCAACATATCAACTTTAAGAATCTGTCTTTTTAATTGTAGTATCATGATTTTTAATGGAGTTATGACTCATCGAAGTCAGAATGTTCCTTTTTACTTAACCCGCGAATAACTCAAGAACAAAAAATCGTAGAAACATTTTTAAAAAACGATTTTGTAAGGAAAATTCTAAACTTTCACAATATAGATAATAAAAAATTTTTGCAAATTTTTTTTAGCACATGACAGACGTAGGGTGCATTCCGTTTCACGCATGATGCATCATTTATCCTGGTTTAACATTCGGTGAATAATAAGGATAAATGATACATCATGCGCATCATGCATGAAATGGAACGCAGCCCTGCAAAATGAAAAGAAAAATTTCTCTTTTTTTTAGCTCGTAGTTTTCTATAAAAATTACAAAACTTACATAAATTCAAAAAAATATAATAATTTGAAAATGGAGATTTCAAGCTTTAAAATCCTTTTTTTTAATTTAGATTTTGATCATTTTTAACGAAGATATTATAATTTTGAGCTAACAAAATACGAAGAACTTTTCCTCTAACCCTAATATATATGTATATACGAGTATATACAATATATATGCAATACTGAAATCTTTTATTGTAAATAATTTATAATAAAAGAATATATAATCTTTTTCTATAAATTATTTGCAGTAGATCAAAATCATCATTATACTATATATAATCTTTTCTTATTGAAACCATCAATTAAATATCTTGGTTTTCCAATAATTATCCACGATATTAATTCGATGAAAATTCCTTATCGTTTCAGAGAAAGACATGGCAATATATACGTATCTATAATATATGTATGCTCATAAAGTGTTAAAGAAACCTCCACATTCTTAACAATATACGAGTTACATTACATATCATTATTGGTTGCACTCATTAGTTAATATATCTTTTTCTGACTATACTTTTTCTACCAATATTTTTCATAAATAAAGTAAAAAGCAAACAGATAGAAATAATTAAAATAAAATAATTAGTATACACATCTTCTATTATTTGTATTTTTATAAATGTTAAAACATTGCACACAACCGAAATTTGTATACATCACTAACATAATATATTGAATACTTATGTAAATTTTAAATATAAATATACATGTTATTCTAATAAGATATGTAATGTAGATAATCAAAGGTAAATTTTTTAATTTTTGTAGAATACGTATGAGATACTTTATTGTATCTCATTTATTTATAATATTATTTTGTGTTCAAAAATATTTAAAAGAAATCTTAATTCTCCAGATATTATATACCTATATTTGATGTATCACAAATTTGAATTGTGAAGATTCTTTCTGAACATTTCTCTTTAAATGTAAAATTAATTCTCACATTTTTCTAAATTTTTTCAGGATGTTTAAAACGTTCATATCTATAGAGATTTTAATTCGAATATAGAATTTCTATATTGCATCAGAAATTTCTTTTTATAGTATGAATTTAAGAGACTGCTACAGTTCAAACATTAATGTTAATTTTTGCATAATATAATTCTTTCAGTTTATTCTTTTTTTCCGACTCTTCAAATAATCTTTATATTAATATGAAAATGCAAAAATTTAATAACATTTTCGACTCATAAATAAAATAAAGACTAAATCTTTGTGTTGAACAATATAATATAAAAACCGAAAACAATATCTTCAATTTTCCTTAAAATTTCAAAGGATCTAAAATATAACATTTTTATATCTGTAAAAATTAACGATTTGCCTTATTAGATTAATAATATAATTTGTTTCGTCATGCAGTATAAATATAATTCAATACAAACGGATATCATGATATTGATAATATTTAGCTCTAGTTATTTTTTTTAAAGCTATAATTTTATTCATTACTGTATCAAAATTTTATAATCTCATTTCATCGTATATCTTTTAATATGTATAATTTAAAAATACATTGTTTACGTATCACAACTTAATGAAAAAAGCGATAGTCTTATGCAATTATTTACATGTATTCTAGATATATTTTCCATAAAATAACATTCCGTAAGATGAATAAAAATTATTTGATATCGCGTGTGTCCATGTAGCTGACCACAATAAATAAGCACAATTATGTCTCTCGATATGATTATTTTTCATGCTCAATATTATAAGCAATTGCATAGAACATAACGTGTCATTATAAACTCTCTGTGTGTGTGTGTGTGTGTGTGTGTGTGTGTGTGTGTGTGCGCGTGGGCGCGCGCATGTGTGCGTATTGGACTAAGGAAAAAGTCTTTTATAAATTGGAGCATAATTGAAACATATTTTTTAAATAGTTTACAAACCTTTTATTAAATCAAATATGTATCGTTTTGATCGATGACCTTTTGCCATTTTTCAGGTAAAGCCATTATTCCATCAGTGTAGAACTTCTGTGATTTCTTAGTAAAAAAACCAAGATAAATGATTTTCGCAGGCCTTTTGAAATCAAGTTTACTTCATTAAGAGAATTCTGCAAACACCAAAACAAATGATAATTTGAACGGTGCAAGGCCAGGACTATACAGTGGATGCATCAAAACTTTTCAGCCAAATTCTCTCAATTTTTGTCATCGTGTGTGGCTTAGTGTTATCATAATGGAAGACGTTTTTTCTATTGATTAATTCTGGCCGCTTTTCCTGAATGGATTGTTCCAATCGCATTATTTATTGACAATAGAAATTCGAAATCGTTTTGCCTGGCGGCAGCAATTTGTAATAGAAGACTCTTCTCCAGTCCCACCAGACACACAATATCACTTTCATGAGCCTGTTCTACAATAGGATCGTAAGCCGTAAGAAATTAATCAATCGTTGTTGATTATTTTTGTCACATTCAATGATTAGCTGTGATTAGCCAATTTCTTATGGTTTAGCCAATTTCTTATGGTTTACGACTTGCAACTCTATCAGAACAGGCATTAAGTGTCAATCTGGACTTTGCGATTGTTTGTAATGCCTCATCTCGTTTCGACTATGACATTATTATTATGTTATCCACTTGCATTGCCCATTATTAATTTTTTCAGAAAGGCTCAATTTCGTTTCGTTTCAGCAGTGATTTGAAAATGGAAATTCGATCCATTAAATTTTTTACTGTCAAATCATGTGGCACCAAAACATCGAGCTTCTTTGTGTATTCAGCCTTATGCAAATGCTCCAAAACAGTTTTACGATCAATTGTTTAGCTTGTTAGCTATGTTACAGTTATTCACATGATTTTCTTCAATTTTTTGGAAGATTTTATCGAAACTTTTCACAATAAGTCGACCAAAACGACGTGTATTTTTAATGTTGAAATTTCCATCATAAAATCAGCGAAACCAGTTCGCTGTTGTTTGTCTAGTTAGAGCATTCTGTTCAAAAACATGACAATTTTCGCAGCATTCTTCCCTTTTTTATAATAAATCCCCTTTTTTAATAATAATAATTTCCCTTTTTTATAATAAAGAATGTCAGAAATGTTCTTGATTTTCATTCATTTTCAAATTTGATTGAATGCGTCAGTATTGTTCAAATCTATAATGAATCTATTTGAAAATAAATGATATATGAAATAGCATCTTTCCAATCATATATAACCTAATACACTATACAATAGTGGCACATAAAAAATCGACTAGATCTCCATCTACCGGCTGTATATAAAGACTTTTTCCATAATCTCACGCACGCGCGCGCCTGTTCTTTTGGCTAAACTTTTGCACTAGTTCATTTTTCCTCCTGAGTGCAAAAGTTCAGCCAAAAAAAAACAGGCTTATGGTCAGATGAAGCAGCGCTCGGCACGATTTGCATTTCTTGGCCGATTCGGTTCCGTCTTTCGCTACTCTTCTCACCTCATCACCTTGCGCGCAGTCCAAATGCCGCTCGATGCTTAGTTATATAATGAACGAAAAAGAAAAGATAGAATTTAATTATACGCTTCTAATCGTCGAGCAGTATTTAAATTGCGCGCGGAATGATGAAGTGAAAAGAGCAGCGGAAGGCGAAGTTGAGTCGAAAATCGGCCGAGAAGTGCAAATCGTATCGAGTTCGGAGATAAAGTGTAAAAATACATCTTTGATAATAAACGTAGCTGGTTCATACAAAACAAATACATAATAATATGTAATTTGCTGCTAGTACATTAAAATATGGAGATTTCTCGCGAATTACTTAATCATACACACACACACACACACACACACGCGCGCGCGCGTATCCATATGCACACAATTATTATACGCGCAATTAAATATTACACAAAATCAGTTATATTTACATTAGGAAGTAGAATACCGAGTACAAACAAAACGACGCAATAACAAATAGATCTAAAAAAGGCTGACAATAATAATTAGGAATATCACTTCCTCAATCATAGTGATAGATAAGAATAAAATGATGATCGCAGGATAATGTCAAATGAACTTGTTGAAATATTAGATTTAAGATAATACCTTTCGCTTCTCACTGTCATTTTTTTTAGAACAAGAACATTAAGCTTTGTCAATAGAAGTATCTTTCATAATGTCATCCTTAGTAATATTTTGGTTCATTTGGTCGTTTTCGTACTCTACAAAGTCATCAAATAAGCTTGGCCACGCTTCTGCATCATCATAAGCACCAAGATCGTCTCCGATGCTCTCGGCAAAGTTTAGAAACATATTCCAAGTGTCCCTAGGTATTCCCCGGATATGATGACATTCTAGAAAGTTTAGCCATCGCGATAAGAGCGGAGGTTCACGTATCGTAAAGACGAGTCTCCAAAGATCAATCGCCATATCAACTGGTAAGATTCTTTGACCAGACATTACGTCGAGGCCAAATCGGAATGTGAATCGATAGAGATCCTTGAACAAATCACTATTGATCGTTAATTCTTGAACGATCTCAGGCAATCGTGCCTGTACACCACGTATACTGTCGACTTTCATCGTTTTTAATCCTGTGACAAACTCCTGACGCGTAAATTGGCACATTTGCTCTGCATTCAACTTCCATGCAAGCACAAGTACTTTAAATTCATCGGGTGATAATTGTAAATCATTACAGAGTCTTTCTATACCGTCAGCTAATATTACATCTTCATGAGGATCCTTAAAGGCAAACATATGAAATATATTAATCATAGTATTTGTATAATTCTTTATAATCTTAAATTATTAAATTATTAAATGTTTTGTGCATTATAATACATGGTCTCCCAACGTTCTTTCTCTTTACATAGAAGTATCTTTTATGTGCCATACCTTGTATTGATCAAATAGAGCGTTTAGTTTGCTCTCTGAAGGTTCCTTTTGCTGCCTAGTTTCAGTACTTAAATTAAGACCCGATGATGTATTGGATCGTCCTAATGGTTGTAATCGCGCATAGAATCCTCGCGATAAACGCAGATTACTTTGTACATTAGGTACAGATCCACAATTATCCGAACCTACATTATTAAATGTAGGTAGCATACTTGTGGATTTTCTGTTCCCATTTACATGTGTTTCAGGCACAAAAGAACTGGATTGTTGGCAAGAATTTGGGAACAAACCTCTGAGTTCCATCGTATCTATAAAAGGTAATTGAAAAATTGTGAATTATTTTATATAGTGTGAAAGAAGCGGAACTGAATAAGTTGGCAATTAAATAATTTTTTGTATGTATACTTTGCACTAAAAAGAATCTAAAAATGTAATATATGAAAGAAGAAAAAATTGATTGTATCTACCGTCTTTGTGCTCCAATACAATCGTGTGATCAGTACTGGTCGATGGTGGAAGTGGCACCTTGAAGCACGAAAAACAGTTTCCCATTGATGCTGACCGTACTTGACATCAAAGATAATTATGCCATGCATCAGTAATTCAGTCTTACATTGGCAGTCTTGATGGAAAGCTGAAAAATGATATCTTTGTCGCTTATGGCCTATATTAAATGTAATATTTCTGTTTATCTCCGTTAAGTACAAATATTCAAGCGATTCAAGCCATGAGATTTGTGATGCTTTTCAGCAAGAGACAGTGTTTATTTTGTTTAACATTGGCATAGAACAATGATTCTGTGTTTCTTGCTGGAAGGCATTGATATATAGATGATACGTAAAGACTCATTACCAAGATGCCAAGGAAAGAGAGTAAGTAATATATCAAATTACTAACTATAAGAAACATAAAAATTGCTTCATGGTTAGCTCTTGTGCAATCTTTGAGATATCTTGTCAACATCAAAATAGGTAAGTATTTGAAAAGTTTACAGAAAAACAAACAAGGATTTACAATATTGACAAGTTCCGCAAGCTCCACTTGTATGAATAAGATTGACAATCTAGGAGAGATGAAAGAAAGAAGACATAAAAATAGATGACTAGGTGATACCTTATTGTTACATATCTGTTATGGTTCCTCGGTCTTCGCTTGAGACTGACTTGTCGTGAGATAATACGGCGTGTCGACCGTATTCATAGATCTGTCGAGTAGTGAAGAAAGTAGAGGAATATTCTCAGCATCGGAGTCGTGCGTTTTTCCTAAAATACGTTGTCCTAGCGACGGATCAACGACGAAAGACCGTCGCGTTGCTCCTCATGTCCCCTATTTTTTTACAGGGCATATTTCCTAATCGAAAAAACGAGCGCCCGGCGGAATGGAATTCCGCAACCTGGTAGCCGAGCCTGTGTCATTTGCGACGATGTCGTAACCCGGTGAGACTCTGTGACAACGGCGATCTCATTCCAAGTGTGCGAGACGCTCATCCACCGTGATCGAGCTGGCAATCACAACCAGCAGCAGTCAATCGACGTAATCGCCACCGACCGATACGACGTTGCGATGTATTCACTCACGCTTCACCGTCGAGCATCGAGCAACGTCTCGAGTGAAAACACTACGACCATAACCGACTTACTCACTGCGACCAAAACGAAGACTCTCAGAGTACTCAGAATGTTCAGAGCTCAGACCCCAAGATTTAATCTGCATCCCCCTGCTGATCAACTGTGTGAAGTGTGATCCAGTATGATCAACTGATCCACCATCAACTGATCAACCAACGAAGATGTTCCTCGTGCCTCAGGGCACTTTTTATCTAAAGGAAAAAAAAATCCTTTGATTCACGCGGCTAGAGCTATTAGTTTCATTAAGTTTCATACACCGCATTGTACACAGTGGGTGTTCTAGGCTTTAGGGTGCAATTACATGTGGTGTGGTATGCGATACAGAAACTAATGCTGGAATCCCATGAGATTTGCTGCATATCGCGTAACCTCGTAACCAATCAGGAGCAATCCGCTGTAGTTTCGCGTTTTACGCCAAAAGCAAGTACGAATTCTACTTTTGGCGTATTACGTGATATTATCAACGTTGTGTATATTCATATATTGTATATGTCAGTGTATTCTCTCTTCACTTCATCAAATCGTTCAAGTTAATTAAATCGTTCTTAGGTACAATCATGGTCTGTTTATATCATCACAAATTCAGGAAATGATAAATACATTAAATTCTGTAAGTATATATTAATTGATATTATCACATTGTAGACCTCGCGCCTAACATAGATTTATGTTTATACTTGTGTAATAACTTTCCTGAAGAGTAACAAATTATTTATTAATTTTTCAAATTAGTTAAAAGGGAACTTTTACTTTTTAAGCCTCGACATATATTCGTTAATAATTGTAAAATTATAAACAAATGATTATAAAATTATAATTTTTAATATATGACTTTGTAAATGACATCTATGCTCATTTCTATTTATGTTTATTTATCTTTGAGCTACCTTCTCACTTTGCTTAATGGTTTATTTTTTATAATCATTTGTTAGTACATTTTGCGAGGTTCAAAAGAACCCTTTTTCATAATTATATTTTTTCTAGCAACTGAAGTGGGGATATTGTGAATGGCTATTGAATATTGTTTGTTAAAATTTATGGAAAGCACACCGGTGCTTTCCGAGTTATGATGAAGAGAGAAAATCTAATTAATGTTGATCAAAACTTAATTGTTACTATCGATACAAAATTTTTTTTATAATGCTTGTTAAAATGTATCTTGAGTAAAGTAATATTAAAAAGTCTAAGAACCGTCAAATAATATTCAGAGCTTGCAGCATTCACAACAGCAATCACAATCATTAACCCAGTCTAATACATCAGCGCAGTCTAATGATATTGATGAACATCTAATAATGGCTATCATGGAAAGGCTATCATTATTTGATCATAGAATTGATGTGCTGGAGCAATCAAAATTGAAAAAACAAAACATTATGAAAAGAAATTAGAAATATCCTTGGATATATTATAAATCCTTTTTAATAAATTTTCCAATACTGTTATCAGTAGAAGCTATGGCTTTAGTAACAACTTTCCCAGTCATATTTCACAAGAATGTCTTCATAATAAGATTAAACTTTGTATGCCTATTCTACAGGTATTATGTCAATTGAAGAACTGCAAAAAAGTGGAAATATCATCGTAACTGCTATGTGAGAGCTAGAAAAAAGATGAAAACATATGTTCCTAGTGGTCTGGCGCATTATCATTAAATTTTAAAAATTCTTATCGATATTTTGAATTAATCCTTTGGATGATACTCTTCAAACAGAATCGTAAGTCACTTAAGAAATGAACAAATTTATACTATATATCATATTCTTTCACAATAATTAATATTTTTTACAAAACAATAAGTACATTATCAATAGAATCACAGCCTTCTGCCTCTGAGGAAAGTACTTCTAGATATTTATCTGCTGGTGAGAGTGTAATGTTGCCTGATTTGACCTTTAAAATATGCAGCAAATGTATCTCTTATTACACTTGCACCTTGCAAATGAAAATTGTTTCTAATATTTCCTGAGTCTATAAGGCCTGTAGAAACATCACAATCATGTGAGTGCGTTGTAGAATAAATTCGTTCTGCAACTGATTTTTGCAGTTCACATTTCATTATAAAATTGTGTAAACAATATGTTATTTGTATAATTTTTTTGCAAGTAGAAGTAAATGTTATAATTAGTTTTCTAAAGATTCTCCACCTCTGCTAATATTCCAAAGGCATTTTCTATAACATGTCTTGCTCGACTAAGTCTGTAGTTGAAGATTTTTCTCGTTTCATTGAGTTGTTGACTTCGGAAAAATGGTTGCATCATGTATGTTTTTAAAGGAAAAGCTTCATCTGCCACAACGTCACGTATGGTAAAACAGGTCCATTATTTCTAATAACATCTGGTGGTGTTATTCTTATTAAATTTTCTTCCAATGCTTTATACAAGTTGCTGTTTCTAAACTCCACCATCGCTCTGACGTCCTTCAGCTCCGATGTTTAAGAAAGTAAAGTAATATTTTGTATCAAACAGCAAATTTAAACAGCAAATTTGAATTATGATTATAATATGTTGAGCCACTGTGTGGAGGTGCCTGTAACAAGAAAAATCAAATATTTTCTAAAATATGAAATTATTCTTAAATAAAATTTTGAAAAATTAATACCTAAATCATAACGTGTTTTCTATCCACAGTGCCTATGCAGTTAGGAAAATTTCACCTATTTTCAAAATTTGTTAACAATTTTCTTCCAAATATCTTTACTGTATGATAGAAAAATTTTATCTTTTAACATCGTCCAGATTGCTTCACAAGTTTCTGACACAATTTTGGAAATGATATGTCCAACTCGATATGCATAAGAAAGTAATTTCATGCTATCACCAGAAGCTAAATAGACACAAACAATGCTTCGCTATAAGTGGTTCCACCAAATTTAACAATTCTTGATACATTTCCACGTTCATATAAAAGTAATTAAAAAATTGACTGTCATTGTGAATGTAATTCTTTTACAAGATTATCACTTGCTCCTTGAAATAATCGATTTTCATAAGAAAATATTGGACGAATCCAAAATTTATGTACAGCTCGTACGGATCGTTGATTTCGCTTATTCTTTTTCATTAATAACCAAGTAGCTATTAATTTTCGCAATTTTAAATGTGCAGCTGAACTATCAACAGTGTTTGAATATATTTGCTAATGAAGTGCACAAATATAAAACAATATATCATTGTGACGATATAAATGTATAGTCAGAATAGATTTTTCTTTAATTGACACCTGTCTCTCGGAGCAAGTCTTATAAAAGTTAATACGGCTATCTGTAAAGATGTGTGTATACGATCAGTACGCGAATTTGTTTTCCTTCCTGTCCCATAGTGCGTTTTTATAAATAGTGTAACCAATGAATTTCGGTATTTGGTTTTCCATTATAGAGCTCTGGGAGAATATAAAAATATGATTGATTTTCGCGTGTACGCAGGCTACCTTTTATGCGCCATAGATAGTAGGAAATTTATTTACGCATAGCGGAAAAGGCAGATTGCTTCTGATTGGTTACGCGATTACGCAATACGCGGCAAATACACGCCTCATGGGATTCCAGCATAACTAGGTAACTATAGGAACCGCGTATACTGTGCCGCTTGCTTCTTTTCGCCTCTATCATTTCGTATAGCGCGGTAAGAGCGACATAGGCCAGTGACATAGTATATACAGTATATACAGTAGCGCAACTTTCCTGATTTTATGTTGGCTGGTAAAATGAAGTGTGCATGCGTAAAATAAGTAAGTTGCCTCGTCTCTTTTCCTCCTTTTATTG